GCAGAAGGGCTGAATGTTTAAGGCCCACCTGGACTACAGAAAGAGTTTTGGGTCAGCCTGGGCAACTTAGGTAGGCCTTGTCTCAAACTCCAGGTCAAAAAGAGCTGGAGGGACGGCTCAGTCAGTGAAGGGCTTGCCTCACAAGTGTGAGGACTTAGGTTCAGATCCCCAGAACCCACATAAAAAGTCAGCCTGGGACAATGAGATGAGATGCAGAGACAACTGGACCCCTGGAGGTTTGAAGACTAACCTGGTCTACATGGCAAAGTTTCAGACCCATAGAGACCCTGTCTCAAACAAAAAGTAGAGGGCTCTTGAGGGTCAACACCAGAGGTTGTCCTCTGACCTTCACAGTTGTGATGTGCATACATGCATCTTGGTCACCACTCCTGGCCCCAGGAATGCACAAACCAGAAAGGTGATCATGCAGCCATAAACAAGGGCTGTGGTCTGTCCCACAAAATGAAAGAAAACAAAAGAGGCTGAAGATATATAGAGTGTTTGCCTAGCAAGTGCAAGGCTCCTACACTCAACAGCCAGTTCAATAAGAACACACACAAGAAAGCATAACCAGCACTTGGCAATACCTGTCTTCATATCAGACACCACAGAAGATGTCTCACCAATCATCTCTCAGCCAAAACCTATTTCTAGAACTCACAGCTTTCCACAGCGCCACAATTCTAGCATTCTCCACCTATCAAGTCCTTGGATTTTCAGTATGAGCCACAAAACTTTTTGTATGCCATGCTGTGGATGAAACCCAAGGCTTCATGCGTGCTAGGCAAGTCCTCCACCACATGCCCTCACCCCATCCATATCTTAGCTTCTTTGAGGACACCAAGGAGGCCTGAACAGGGTGCAAAGAGGCTACCAACCTCATCTAGCAGCCCCACTGCCAGGCAGAACAACACAGTAAGGACAGAGTTAAAACATGGGCTCCTCTGTGGGACAAGCTGGAACCCTATCTTTGTCTGTGTGGCCTTAGGAGGAATTCCAAGTCCTGTTCAAGAACTCCACTGTGGGGCCATTTGACCTGGTCACTGCACACTGGGCTGCAGGCGGATATGACCTGGAAGTTGGGATACACATGGCCTGCCTGCTCATGCCCAGAGCCAACAATGGGTAATACAGGCCATAGAAGAACAATCCCCCTGAACACCGCTGCACAAATGTGCCCAGCTGCAGTCTCAGGAGTGGAAATTTCCAAATATCCCAAAGTGGAAGACAATGAAACAAATCATCATGAAACCATGATATGGACTTTCAGACATGTGTTAAGTCACGGCTGGAAATAAGTTGTTGTTTGGGGTTTCTTGTTGTCTTTGCTTTGCTTTTACACAAGGACTCATGACTGAGTTCAGGCAACCTTAAACTCACAATTCTCCTCCCTCAGCCTCTGAATCTGCAAGTAATTATTACAAACAAGGAAAATGGCAAGTCAAACTGACTTGTTGGTGAGTTGGGTTCTTATTATTACATTTATTTGTGGGGTGGAGACGAGGGGTGCATGTATGCCACTATGCCTGTGGGGAGGTCAGAGAGCAAAGGGAAGGAATCAGTTCTTCCATCACGTGGGTCCTATGGGTCAAACTCAGGAGAAAGGGGACTGATTGCTCAAGCCCCTGCCTCGGTGCCTTCCATGCCATAATGGAGTATCCCTGGAAGCTATGGCTAAGAATGGATTCTCAAAGGCTAGACACAACGTCTTTCCTGTGCTTAACAAACACATGTGCACACACGCATGTCTGCAACCCAGTAAGCTTGGAACTTAAAGAAGATGTGAACAAGATGCCACACCCCATCGCTGGTTTCCGTCAGCAGGAGAAGCGGAGACCTGCAGCCTCCCATGGCCATGGCTGAACTGAGACAGACAACAGGAAGCTGCATTGCTGCAGGAGCCCCAGCCGTGTGGCCACGTGATGTTCTGTAAACATCTCCAAAGATACCCCTGACCCAAGTGTAAGAAGATTTAAAGGGAGAAGATCTTGTTGGCAACAGGAAGAACAAATGTGCTCACCTCAGGGCATGGTGGTGCCAAGACCCTCATCCCAGCACTAGGGGACAGAAGCAGGCAGATCTCTGTAAGCCCAAGACCAGCGGACTGCATACAGAGACCTTGTCTCAGAAAATAAAAAGCAAAAATAAAAACAAGAAAGCTGGGCTGTGGTGGCGCATGCCTTTAATTCTAGCACTCGGGAGGCAGAGGCAGGCAGATCTCTATGAGTTCAAGGCCAGCCTGGTTTACAAAGCTACATAGAGAAACCCTATCTCAAACAACAACAACCCCCACCCCCCCCAAAAAAAAACAAGAACTATGTTTCAGGAAGCGTCCTACTGTGTGACAAATTAAAAATTGTATAACAAATGAAAAACAGGTTTTATCATCTATACAGACCATAAAACTGAAAAATCACCAAAGAAATGAAGCTTTGTCTGTCTTCACCATTAGACACTTGGAACTCCAAAGCAGGGGCCATCAAGATGGCCCAGTGGGTAAAGGTGCCGTTGCCAAGTCTGATGATCTGAGTTTAACCCTGTAACCCCCATGGTGGAAGAACAGACATCTCATGTTATTCTATGGCCTCCACGTGAATGCCATGGCACACCCACATACGTAAATGTAATAAAAAACTATAATAATAAAATAACTAAAAGAACACAAAACTTCTTTTCCTAGCATCTCCAGACATCCAATACAAAAAGAAAGAAAGGCCAGGCAGTGATGGCACACACCCTTAATCCCAGCACTTGGGAGGCAGAGGCCAGTCTGGTCTACAAAGTGGGTTCCAGGACAGCTAGTATTGTTGCACAGAAAGACCCTGTCTCAAAAAATAAAAGGAAGAAAGAAAGAAAGAAAGAAAGAAAGAAAGAAAGAAAGCAGATAACTTTGGTAGAATTAAGAAACACCCGGCGTGCCTTCCCCAATTTTATCTAAGTCTGTCCATTATCTTTGGGGGGCGTGTATGCATGTTCTTGGAGGGTAGTTTATACACATGTGTGCACTTGCATGCAGAGGCCAGAGGGTCAGTCCTTCCTCCGGAGCCACTCACTTGTTTTTGAGACAGGGGCCTCTCACTGGGACCTAGGGCCAGCTGAGTAGACGAGGTTGGATAAGTTCCAGGGATTCACTTGTCTCTACCTCCCTGACACAGGGATTTCAAGGGCGTCGCCACATCTGACTTTCTATCTTGAGTGTTGGGGTTCAGACTCAGGCCCTTAATCTTGAGTGCCTTCATCAGGTGAGCTCTCTTCTCAGCCTCTAGGTCTGTTTTCTGTTGCTTTACCAGAATACCCGAGACAGGCTAGCTCAAAGAATTAGAGGTTCTTGGGCTAGGGGAGTCGCTTAGTATGTTTACCATTCATGAGACACTGGTTTCCTCCCCAGCAATGCATAAACTGGGCATGGTGGCACCTAAGCCGGCACTCAGAGGATGGAGAATTTGAGGCCATCCTCAGCTGTGAGTTAGAGGCCGGCTTAGGATACAGACAGAGAGGCAGACAGAGAGGCTCCCGAGACTGGAACTCCCAAGTCCGTTTGCTGGCCTCAGCTCAAGGGGGCTAAATCTGCAGGTGTGTGCAGAACGGGCAAGCCTGCTGGAGGAAGCAGCCTTGCTTTGCAACAACCAGCTCCGGGGAGAGCGAATCCAGTGTCTGAGAGCGGGCACTCACTCCAGTGAAAGAGTTTTATTTCTTAAGACCCAGTACCTTCTCAAAGGCCGACCTCTCCAACCGCCACAGAGTGATCATCTCCACATTGGGCAGGCGTGCTGGCACACACTTGCAGAAGGATTGCCACCTGTGCCAGACTGACCTGGGCCACATGGTGGGTTCAGGGAAGCCTGGGCTACAGAACGAGACACTTTCTTAAAGAAAAAAAAAAGCCATGGACGGCATGACAAGATGGCTCAGCAGTTCAAAGAGCTGGCCACGGAAGCCCGGAGACCTGAGTGCAACCCTTGAAACTCACATAAAGTTGGAAGGAAAGAACCAATTCCACAATGTTGCCTGGCCTACACACGTGCGCTGTGGCACACAAACCCACACACAAGGCAATCAAATCAAACCAAAATGTACACCAGATATTGAAGATTTCAGATTTAAAAAAAAAGCAAAATACCTCACAAATGATGTGTTCAGAAGAACTATATCCTGAAATCATGTATACAAAGTGTTAAATAAATAAACTCTCGTGAGGTGCAGGGACACCCAGCCCTAATTCCAGCATTCAGGATGCTGAGACTGGATAACTAAATTCAAGGCCAGCCTAGGCTATACAATTAGACCAAGGCCAGCCTGGGGTACACAGCAAGACTGTCTCAGAAAAAAATTTATAAAGAATGACCAGCGCTCCAGAGCCAGACAGATTTCTACGAAGTCAAAGAACACCCTGGTCTACAAAGAGGATTTCAGGCCAGCCAGGGCTACCATAGTAAGACCTGTCTCAAACAAAACAAAACAGAAAAAAGAAACCAGGGCTCAGCGAGGACTTGGTTACACAGTCAGTTCCTCCTGAGTTCTGGACCTCAGTTTCTCCACTTGAAAAGAGACCTATCTATTCGTCTGCCTTGCATTGAGAGTGGGCAGCCGGTGCGTGCAAAACCCTTTTTAAATGTTACCCACGGAGCCCCACAGGGATTGAGCAGTTCCCCTGCCCTGCTGGCATCCCAAAGTGCTTTCTAAGGATCATCTCATTTAATCCTCCCGTGGTCCCTAATGGTGGGGACTCTCGCCTTTCACCGGGTCGCAAATAGAGAAACTGTGCTCTGGACCCATGAAGCGCCTCGCCCAAGCGAGAAAGGAAACGCGGAGAATCCGCTGCGCTGCGCTCAAATGCGGGATGACAATTTCCACTCCATTATGAAGGCGATGCTGCCTGGTTCCCGGGTTGTTCTAAGCCCAGGCAATGGGGTCTGTGCATCAAGCCCAGTTCCCCAGGCAGGAAAGAGGGGCCTCAAGGCCCTGACCCTTGTCTACCACCCCTCAGCTCTGCTGCTCACCTTGCGTATTTTGTTTTCTGGAAATCCAGCAACCTGGCCAGAGTGAACATCGCCGCGATTCCATCAGCGCCCGGCCCGGGGCTGGGACGCGGGAACGCAGGGAGCCGCTGCGGGAGGCGCAGCAGGTTGGAAGGGTGTCGGATCCTTGGGCAGCTCCAGAGCCCTGAGCAGAGCTGATCGGCTGCCTCCGGAGCCCCGAGCCCCCGAGCTAGGAGTCTCGGGATAGCAAATCCTGAGCAGATGGTGGCGGGGGCGGGGCGGGGGCGGGATATGGGGGGGTGGGGGGACGACTCAGTCGCACTCTGCCAATCGCGCGGCTGGGAGGTCCTCTCCTCCTGTTGGCGTCTACCCGTGTCCCCTCCACCCCATCGCTTTTCCAGCCAGCAGAAGACAGCTTGGTCTAAACTGAACCGCCTCTGTCACCTCTTGTCAGCCAGGCAGCTCTACAAGCCACAGGGGACGCTTGGGGACCGAACCAGGTGGCATCCTCGGTCTACTTGTTGCTGGCTCTTGTGCACCTCTGAGAAGCCTGCCAATACTGATTCCTCACTACTCCCCAGGACTCTGTGACTCTAGGAATCGTCTGCTCCCCCAACGACCCGCCCCAAGATGAGGACATTCCAGCATGTCTCGGATCTTCACCCCCAAGTCCATCCTCACATCTTCAAACTCCAGCTTTCTTTTTATTATTATTTTTAGATTTTTACACGTTTATTTAATTTTGAATCCATGTGTGTATGTGTACATGTATGTGCAGTGCAGGTGCCTGGAAGTCCGAAGTGTGGTATCCCCTGGGCCTGGAGTTACTGGAGTTTTGTAAAGTGGTGCTGGGAGTCAAACTCCAACCCTCTGGACCAGCAGCAAGCACTTTGTAACCTCTGGGCCATCTCGCCAGCCTCCTACATTTATATTTATCATGCTTGTGGAGGTCAGAAGACAACTTGCAGGAGTTGGTTTTGTTCTTACACCATGTACAACCTGGGATGAAAACTCAGGTCCTCAGGCTGGGTGACAAGCACCTTTACCAGCTGAGCCAGCTCACCAGCCCCAGATTCAGCGTTCTGCTTTAGGGGACCTTGTTTGGAGGACTCAGGGACACAATCTGTCTGTGGAGATTTTGAACAGCACTGAGGGAGCTGCTGGAGGAAAGATGATCTTTGATGTTTATGATAGCTACTGATTTCCACTTGACGGGATCTGAGGTCACCAAAGACACAACCTCTGAGCATGTTTGTGAGGAATTATATTCCTTAGGTTGAGGTGGGAAAGACCACCCTAAATGTGGGTTGGACCTTTCCCTGAGCTGAGGGATAGCCTTGAATAAAAGAGAGAATTCTAACTTAGTGCCAGCACTCGTATATCTTGACTTCTTTTTGTTGTTTTTGTTTTTCAAGAGACAGAGGTTCTCCATGTAGTCCTGGCTGTCCTGGAACTCACTCTGTAGACCAGGCTAGGCTCCAACTCAGAAATCCACCTGCGTCTGCCTCCCGAGAGCTGGGATCAAAGGTGTGCGCCTCCATTGCCCGGCATCTCTGCTTCTTGATCAACTGTAGCTGCAATGACCAGAAGGGTCCCCAGGTTTATGGGAAGTCCTCTCCTCACCCACTGCATGGCTTCTCCATCTGGGGCCACAGCGCCCTAATCCTTTTAATTAGTTATTTTTACCCAGTACTAGACAGTGAACCCCAGTCTCAGCACACACCAGATGGACACTTTACAGCTAAGCTACATCCCCAGCCCCTTTTTACTTTTCATTTTGAGGCGGTCTGGCTGAACAGCTCAAACTGGCCTTGAGTTCACTCTGTAGCCCAGGCTGACTTTGAACTTGCAATCCTTCACCTTGAGTCTCCCTAGCGGCCAGCATGTACACTCACCATCAGACCTCGTTCTTCTTAGAACAATGTTTGTTTGCTGCCCTACCGGTGACTGAGAAAATGCCACCCACACCTCTGCATCAAGGGAGCTAGAACAAGAAATAAACTGACGGAGTACCTGATTCACCTCTGCTTTCCAAATGCTGGGCCCGGAGTGGGCACACACAAGACCCTGGTGAGGCAAGACCAGAGGGTACAGGTGGATGGTGGGGAGGAGATCATGGCAGGAGTAGCCACAAGGAGAAAGAGGGTAGGGGAGAATGAGAACGCTAGAGGAAGAGGCCAAAGGAAAGGCCCTGGGGTACTTAGGAAATAAGGCTGACCAGCCTCAGATGTAAGATTAGAAGTTCAAGATGTCTAATGTAGTCATCCCAGCACTTGGGTTACAAAGGCACGAGAGGCTCAAATTCAAGGCCAGCCTAGAAAATTTAGTAAGATTTTATCTCAAAGAAGAAATCAAAAGAAAGCGGGGCACATTACTCCAGTAGAATACCTGCCTAGAATCCCCCAGTGAGGGGCTGGGGTGTGGCTCAGTGGTAGAGCACCTGCATAGGAGGCCAGGAGCATGGTTGATCAATAGAGGGTCTATCTAGCCGAGAGAGAGAGAGAGAGAGAGAGAGAGAGAGAGAGAGAGAGAGAGAGAGAGAGAGAGAGAGAACAAAATACCACATGAAACTCTTTGCTGCTTATGGTAACTTTAAAAAAATTTTAATGAGGCAGAAGGATTGGCTATAAGGCCTTTGCACAGGTGAGAGGAAGGTGTGTTCAAATACATATTGATGTGTCCTTTGTGTGTCCTAGTTGGGATGAAGATGTGTGTTCATTTGCAACTCGTAGTAACACTGAGTAACAAGGCCAGATATGGTAGTTAAAACCTGTAATTCCAGCGTTCAGAAGGCTGAAGCAAGAGGGTCTTGCTTTTAAGACTAGTCTGAACTGCATACTAAGACAAGGACAACCACAAAAAAAAAAAGAGCAAGAGGAACAAAATCCCATGAGAGACTGGAGGGACAATCTAATGGGTAAAGTTCTTGCCATGCAAGCTTGAGGACCTGAGTTTGGATCCCCAGCACCTGTATATAATCTGGGTACAATGGCATGCATCTATAAGCCCAGTTCTGGGAATACAGAGACAGTGGGACCCTGGGAACCTTCTGGTCAGCCAGTCCAGTCTGGTTGGCAAGCTCCAGATTTGATGAGAAACCCTGTGTCAAAGAAATAGGTAGAGGGGCTAGAGATGGCTCAGTCGTTAGGAGCACTTGCTGTTCTTGCAGAGGGCCTAGGTTGGTTCTCAGCATCCACATGGTAATTTACAACCACCCTTAACTCTAGCGGACCTGGCACCCTCTTCTGGACCCTAGACACAAGACATTCATGCAGTGCACATACGTACATGCAGACTGCACACTCATATGCACACAATAAAATCATAAATTAAAAAGAAAAAATAAATAAAAAGATGCAAAGCAATAGGGCAGTGGTTCTCAACCTGCTCATGACTCATTTGGGGGTTTAACCACCCTTTCACAGGGGTCGCCCAAGACCATCTGTGATTCAGATTTTACATTACAATTCATAACAGTGGCAAAATTACAGTTATAAAGTAGCAATCGAGCGTGAAGTGTGAAGTAGCAGGGGAGATAATTTTATGGTTGGGGTCACCGCAGCATGAAGAACTGTATTAAGGGGTCACAATGCTAGGAAGGTTGAGAGACACTGCTTTAGAGGAGGACATCCAGTTGACTTGAGAACGCCACGTGAGCAGGCGCGCACGCGCGCGCACTCACGCGCACACACACACACACACACACACACACACACACACACACGAGAGTGAGCCAGGGTTATGTGGTCAGAGTGGTATGGTATGAATGGGGCATACTGGATCTCAGGGGGACGAAGACAGTCCTAAGGGACACAGCTCATGGGGACATTCCTGTGCATTTGAATCTCATTCGAAACACCCTGAGTTCACTGCTAAGTACAACTCCCAGAAGCTCTAGTAACGTCTACAGACCTCCAGAAGACACAACCCAACAGACACAGTGAGAGATAAGCCCCACATTGCAAGCCCTGTGCCAACCCGTTGACCTAAGTCTCTTTACATTAACCCCCGTCTGCCTGCCAGCAGTCTCTGCCCAGCCCTACACCTCAACTCCCAAGGTTTCTGCTGAACATGGCCTGACCCTTCCTGGTCGCCTTTCTCCCCAGAGAATCCAGGCCAGGTTCCAAGTGGCCACTGGTCGCCACAGCTCCTAGTAGACTGAGACCAGACCGCTCCAAGACTGTGTGCCCCACCTCGCCCTGGGCTGGTGGTCCCCTCCTACTGCTGTCCACCTTCAGGCAGGCCTTGGCAGTGGGCTCTGTGGAGGCCAGCAGGAGACCCTGGAATGAAAAGCAACTCTAGAAATGTATATTTCCCTCTCCATCAGCTACAGAAGCTGAATAAAAAATAAGTTACTATTTTTACTGCTAGGATGTGGTTGTTATGGCAACAGAGGGCCTGACTCTTGCTCTTGCTCCAAGGTGGGGGTTATGTGTGAGGGAAAAGGTAAAGGAGGTGGCTGGTGGGGTGGCTGGCAGCAGGGAGAGAAGTCTGAGGACCACCGGCATGCCCACATCACAGGGACTCTTGGCCACCAAACCTACATCTTCACAGTTCACCACTCTACTTCCTTCCTCCCTCCCTCCTCTTCTTTCCCTCCTCCCTTCCTTTTCCTTCTCATACTTTTGTGGTGTTGCTGATTGAACCCAGGACTTACAAGTGCTGCACAAACACTTACTGACATAGAAGGCTAGAGTACTGGAAGAGGAGTTCTGGCTCAGTGGTAGAGCACCTGCCTAGAATCCCCCAGTAAGGGGGCTGGGGTGTGTCTCAATGGTAGAGCACCTGCCTAGAATCCCCCAGTGAGGGGCTGGGGGCATGACTCAGTGGTAAAGTGCTTGCCAACCATGCACCAGACCCTGGACTCTACCCTCAAAACTGCCAAACAAATGCAGCCAGGTAAGAGACAGGCAGTGAAACTTACCAACTGAACCAATAAGCAAACTTTTGCAATTGCCCTATGGCCTTTATATTTTGCTTTTGAGTCAGGGTTTCCCTACACGACTTGGACTGACCACAGCTGAATTGCCATTTTGGTGCGCTGAGTGCCAGAATTACAAATGCATTACACCATGACTGGTCCCATCCTTTCCTTCATCCTAGATCTACATTATAGATGGCCATCACTGCACCTCTTCCTGGCTGCCCTCGCCCACTTAGAGCCTGTGGCTTGTGAATTGAAGCCACCATGAGGAAGAGAAGCAGCAGGACACAGGGTATCATGAAGTTCCAGGATGGCAGAGTCTGGCCTTCTGAGAACATGCAGCGAGCGTAG